AATTTAACAATCAAAGATAATACGAAATTTTCAAAAAATCATATCATCTGCATTTTTAAGAATCATGATATGATTTGTATGTTAAATTAAAGCTTAAAGATTGTAGTTTATGATATGATAAAAAAACTATTCGGTAAAATTAATGAAATTTCCAGGAATAAATGGTTGAAGAAGAATTTGTCATATTTATTGATCAAATGATATCTTCCAACATTCTCAGCATCTTTAACATCATTTCATAACATCGTCAAAGACATCCTTCCATATAATTCCTCACATTTTTCAAGTCTGTCCTAGCTCTTTACATCATCTCTGAAGCCTTTCAAGTTTATATCCCTCAACATGATTTCTGACATTTCTTAACATCTTCCTTACAACACATCATAATTGATATCACCAAACATTATCCATGATATTCTTCAACATCAAACTTATTATTATCGAATATCGTCCCTGATCTACTTCAACATCGTCTATAACACCAAATTAGTCAACGATCCATCAACATTGTCTTTGATATCTCTAAACATCTGATTCTGATGACCATCTTTTTTTTAATTTCTTCAACGTTTTTGGGTTTCAACATATTCATTAGTCGAATTAAAATGAATTGTGCTAAATATCAATGAATTGTCTTAATTTGTATCGTTTTCGTTCCAAAGTGCCTCAAAGTTATGATCACCAATATTATCATCATTTTATATGTCAGGGTCAACGCCGACCAAAACAAATATTATTTTTAGAATTATTACGTCCTAAATATGTTAATTACATGATTTTGAAAAGTACTATGTCGCTGTTGTATCAAAAAAGTGTCTAAAATAAGATTTTGTACGTAAAAAAATTAAACATGTGTTAATTTTTATGATTTAATCTTTGAACTTTAACTCCAATTAGTACTTGGAGAGAACATCTCATAAACACAGATAAGATTTTTGCATAAATATTGTCTCCAGCAAATAAGATAAGGAATCTTGAGGATGTTATGGTGAAGTGTTTTTAGATTTATTTTTAGATTATCGTTTAAAAAATTCGATAACGAATTGAATTTCAATTAAGAGTACTTTTTTTAATCAACCTGAAAGCTCCGAAGCTTCGCTTCAAGTTGTATCGATCGAAAACTCACCAACACAACAGCTTGAAAATGCAAAATTCAATTAAGCCCGAGGCTATTGAGAGAGTCGCAATAAATTTCAATCTAAATTTTTATAAAAACCGAAATGGGGTTTAAAAAAAATACTCACTGCCCGCATCTTTGGATCATCCCAAGAGCTGCGCTTGTAACACCATCGTTGAGTCGCATCAAAGGCTTCTTTTCGATCCATAAAATTATGTTTTCGATTAACATAAAAATTAAGAAATAAGGTGTTGCCTAAAACGAAAAAAATTGTTATAAATAATCAAAAATATGGGTGAAAAAATATATTACATCTCTAATAAAATCAGGAACTTGATCTGGATTTTCATAACTAACTTCCTTATTATCCATGAGATAAAACATGGATCCCATTCCTTTAAAAAATTTAGTAAACGCTTTTCCCGAAACATTATTTTCAGGTCCTCGCGATAATTTCACAAAAACACTTCGAACCTGCTCTGTACCGTTCATTAAATCAAAAACTATGTTTTCATCCATCTCTGTTGATTCAAAACTTCACTTTAACTAGCTGCACTAAATTTAATGCGAAATGTTTTCAAGTTATTTATAGAAGGCACGTTGGTCGTAATCGTGTTAGAGTTCGTATTTAGAACGTTTTGTTGGCTGAGTTTGCTGATAATCTGAATGTCAGGTGGCCCGTGACTTTATTTTCCCGTTTATATAGCTAACGCTAATCGTAAACATTAAGTGGGGTTATAACGGAGGCGGTAATAAACAAAACAATGATATCGGTGCAAAAAATCTGGTTTGAAGTGATGTTAATTATTGAATTAATACAGTGTTCGCTAAAAAGTTAGAAATAAAGTGTTTTTTAAAGTATTTTTAAGTATCTTGATGTGATTTCTATGTTAAATTGAAGATTAAAGATTGTAATTAATGATGAGATATAAAAATGATAAGATAATATTGTACGATTTTTTAAAAATATCATATCATTTGTATTTTTGAGAATCATGATATGATATGTTTGTTAAATTGAAGCTTAAAGATTGTAGTTTATGATATGATATAAAAACTATGAGATAATATTAATGAAATTTCCAGGAATACATTGTTGATGAAGAAATTGTCATAATTATAAATAAGAAAGAGTACAAAATTTTCAAAAAACCATATCATCTGCATTTTTAAGAATCATGATATGATTTGTATGTTAAATTGAAGCTTAAAGATAGTAGTTTATGATATGATATAAAAGCTATTAGGTAACATTATTAAAATATCCAGGAAAAAATTATTAAAGAAGAAATTGTTAATTATTCTTCAAAAATAATACGAAATTTAAAAAAAATTATATCTACTATATTTTTGAGAATCACGATATGATATGTATGTTAAATTGAAGCTTAAAGATTGTAGTTTATGATCTGATATAAAAACTATGAAATAATATTAATGAAATTTCCAG